CTATACAAAGCAATTAGAAAAGCAAAAAATAAAATAACAGATACAGGACTATGTAGAACAGTGAAACTAACCTAAATACCTTAGGGAAGAAAGGTTATTGTTGTTAGCATTCATATCAAGGGGAAAGCAAAAATAAAAGAAGCAATAATATCAACTTGTAGTCATTTTCCTTCTAATTTTTCTAGCGTAAAGCCATAATAAAGTTCTATGTACTGAAGCCATCTGGGCTCAAAATTCTCCTTTGCATGTGTGAAAATAAATTTCTAGCACACAGCCCCATTTGTCTTTTACAGCCTTATCTCCTCATCTTCATTCCACAACTCAAGTCAACAGAGACCCCGTCTTCTCTCACGCTACCACTGCACACTGTCACAGAACTTCATTCTTTGTAGGCAACCTTCTCATCCCTTCTAGGCTCACGTCAAATGTTCCTTCCTTTAAGGAGTCTTCCTGATTTTCTCTAGGTACTCTCTCTCTCTCAGGCTCCCAAAATAACTGCTCGTAGCATTCTCATTTTTTACAAATATTCATGTTTGTCTCTTTTAGTCTTAAAGGGTAGCCACCATATCTTTGCTAAATGAATAGCAGAGGGAAAATGGAAAAAATATGCAGAAATCAAAATAATCCCTCTCAATCACTGGTTCCAAGAAATAAAAAAGGATAAAGGAAATTAGAAAATACCTTAAGACTATAATGAAAGCAACATACAAAAACTTAAGGGATTCAATAAAAATAGTAATGAGGAATTTCATAGTGATAAACACCTACATTTAAAAAAAAATCTCAGACAAACATATTCTTTCTAAAAGTAGAAACAGAAAAAATAAACTAAGCCCAAAGTTAACAGGGGGAAAGAGATAATAAAAATTAGAGCAGAAATAAACATATTAGAAAACAAAAATATAATGAAACTAATGCTTTTGTTTGCTGTTTTGTTTTTGTCTTTTTCAGACAGGGTCTCACTATGCAGTTCAGACTCACCTTGAACTCACTTTGTAACCCAGGCTGGCCTCAAACTCACAGCAATCCTCCCATCACTGCCTCCCAAGTGCTAGAATTATATGTGTGCCACCATGTGTGGCTAATGGTTTTTGGAAAGGCAAACTTTTAAACTAAGAAAAAAAAAATTTCATTGGGTTTTTTTTGCCCCACTTCCTCTTCCCTTGCTCATTGGATGTGTAACTTCTAACTCCTGCTATCACCACCTTCAACTCACCAGCATGTACTGTTTATAGTAGAACAGGGAAAAACACACAATTTTCTTCCTTGGTGGAATATATATATAT